CACAGTCACACACCTCAGAGACATCAGCTACAGAGTCATGACGAGGGGAAAGACAGGAAGTAGGAGGGCATCGAAGAAATGCAGACCCAAGCACAAATGCTAGGCCCACTGCCCTGCATATTCATTACCTCTTCTTTACATGGGCGTATTCTGAGGCCAGAGTCTCTTACAATTCTCCTAAATCCCACCAGTAATTCCACATGCCTAATACACCTTGGACGCAAAATGGGAAGCCAATAAATTCTTGATAATGAAAGTGGTCCCTTGAAATGGGCTCCAGATTCCACAACAACTGAAATTCTAAGAACAGGTAATCCATCCACCCATCCATCTACTTTTTTTTTTTTCTTTTCCTTTTTCCACATGCAATCAAAGGCTTTGCTCTGAGCCAGCCAAGGGCACATAGATGAACCAGACACAATTCCTCCACTGAGGAAGCCTACAGGCCCTGAAGGTGTTTTGGTTTGGTATTCATTAAGCCCAGGATATGAACACAAATTACGGTCCCAAGGAAGTATGACCCGAATTGGAATATGTTGGCTACAAGTGTACATAAAGCAGGAAAGTGCTAAAGGACAGCCAAGCGTGTCTGGATCTCAGGTATACTTGGCCCTGTCCGCCGTCCAAAGGGTAGAGCTATACGTCTGTTGGACTCGCTTATCGTATGTCAGTTGCTCCAGAGGCAAGTTGTGGGTGACAGACTTACTATCTTGCTTTCTTTGCCACTGGAGGCCAATAATAGGAATTACTAATGATGGGACTCCTGATTTATAGGGACTTGCTGAAAAATATACAATGTTTGCGTTTCTTTCCCCCAATTCCCTCCCACTTTTATGAGTGCTGTTAAGTTTAATTTCAGCATGTTAAGTAATTTGTGACTCACTGAAATGAAACTTAATTCAGTCCTCATAAAAACAGAATAAAATGGTATTTCCATGTTTCATGTTATGGTTTGAATCAGCCTGCTATTTGGAGCGTGGTGGAATCTACTCAAAATGCCATTTTGGAGCCTCTCATCCCCTACCAACGAGTTACTATGTTCCTCAAAATTTCCCAGAATTCCTTCAGCTACCCAAAAATAGCAAAAATTTATAGCTGAAGGGAACAGAGGGAAAAGCTAGTAAGCAAGTCGTGGCACTGTTTCTGCAAGTACTGTCTTATAGAAAATGTGAGTGTTTTCTACCATTTATCCGTTGCATTAGATGATTATATCTAGGAATAGATACAGATCATCTACTCAATAGACCCCTGAGATTTTTAAAATGACCATTACTATTATTGTCTTCAACCAATTTTCCTTGCCTTACTCACAAATACCACAGGAATCCAGAACATCCCATTTTGGCAAATACCGCAACAAGGCATAAATACTGTATTTGTATTTATGATCTTATTTAAGTATGCTCAATTTTTATGGTACAACTTCATTAACTGTGATTAATAATTTGGAGTTGTATGAGAACTGATTTAGGGTTGGGTTAAGATTCATCTTTACAGCATGTCTCTGAAGAAAGGGTACTGTTAAAAAATTACAGATGGTTTTTAACTTCGTTCAGAAAGCAAGTTGTTTCTTAGGGTTTAACCTTGAGAGGTGCTTGCAGCCAGGTGCTGCTGTCACCTACCAGGATGGTGGCCCTTGTGCGAGGACTGGCGGACTGCCTGGAGCAGCAGGTCACCAGGGCGCATGCATCCAGGAGATGGGGCTTCTGAGAACTGGCCAGCAGGGCCTCCCCATCAGCAGGGCGAGGTTCCCGAGGAGTGAGACAACCATGGGGCATGGTGACAGGCGCCTTCACCTGCACCTCAGGGCCTTAATGGCTGTGCTGGTCAGTGCCAGGCTCAGTGCAGGTACCAACACACACAACGATGATGACAGGAGGTGCTGAGACAGCCTGGGGGAGGGAGGTCTGGGAACAGGACAGCATGTGCTCCAGTGTCATTCCCATCACACCTGCAGAGGGCTGAATGTTTGTGTCCCCCCAAAATTCATATGGCAAACCTCGAATCCCAATGTGCTGGTCTTGGGAAGTGGGGCCTTTGTGGGGTGATTAGGTCAGGAGGGTGGAGCCCTCACGAGTGGGATCAGTGCCTTTGTAAGAAGAGGCTAGAGAACGAGCCAGCTCTCTTCGTGCCACACGAGGACGCGAGAAGTCAGCAGCCTGCAACACGGGAGCGGGCCCTCACCAGCACCCAGCCACACCCGGACTTCCAGCCTCTAGAATGCTGAGAAATAAACGTCTGTGGTTTATAAGCCACCCAGCCTACGGTATTCAGTTACAGCAGCCTGAACTGACTGAGACAACACCCAAGTGCGGGACAGGCTCAATGGTGCCCCGAAGACCACAGACTTAAGGCTATTCAAATGCCTCGAGTGGCATCTTGCCCTTGTTCCACTGACTGCAGGACTGAAGATTTCATTGTTGGTACCATGCTGACAGTGTGGGGAAGATTCCCTAGTCGGAAAGGCTGTGATTAAAACCAAGGTCATGGAAGGGGCCCATTGGCACAAACCACTTAAAGCTGAAATTATGTCCAGCCAGTAAGACAGACCTCACTGGCTAGAGAGTTGCAGGATTCTTAGAAATGCCTCTCTGTGGGCACGAACTCTGCAGAAGACGCAGGCAAGAGGCTGGGGGTGGCTCAGCCGGTGTTGCTGTAAAGGGCACGAGAGCTCTGACTTGGGCAGCTGTTACCCCAGGAATGTAAGGCATTGGGCAGGATAGCCCACGCAGTGTGTAATTTAGGAAGGAAATAAACTGCGCCTGGCACGCTAGCAGGCTTACCAAGAACTGTCAGCAATGCCTTGATTCGGTAACAACGATAAGGGAGGGCTTTGTTAACGCTGCCCAAGGGGCTGGGCCTTGAACATTCTTTGCTACAAGGAAGCATCCCTGAGGGCTAGGCTCAGCCACTCATCGTGGCCTCCTCCCCACGGAGGCAGCCTTGCCGACACAGTCGGGCACTGAGCGTTTATCACCCGCACCTACCCGATTCGATAACACAGCCAGGCAGCGACAAAGGAGTCTGGATTTTGTCAAACTTTTCCCCGAAAAATCCAAGTTTGGAACTGGCTTGGACTTTGCAGGGAAAAAAAAAAAATCCACTTGGGCTGAAATGGTTTGCTGCAAGAATCACCCCAGAAATTGTCTTTATGTCTGTCTGCCTTCCTTTTATTCTGTTTTTCATTCATGCACCAAAACACTGATGTTACGTTCTCTGCTAGGCACCCTGGAAGCCAAGGGAATGAGGCAGGTCTGCTGCCCACGTGGGCAAGCGGACATGAGGTTTGCAGGCCAGTATCTGGCATGACAGTCCTCTTCCCCATGACCCTGGGGACTTCCATTTTTCCCAATGTTTTTAAGATTTCCCTGAAACTGAGCAGTAACTTTGGAGGGTGTGGGGACTGCAGCACCAAGAGCCACACGGCTCCTGGGAAGCAGTTTCCTTCTTCCAAATACACTCAGAAGGCCCCTCCATGGCCCTTGACAAGCAGACTCCTTGGTTAGTCTCACAGAGGGGCTGGTCAACCGAGGCCAGGGAAGCGTGAACATTGGAGGAAAGACCTGGTTTTCCCTTCTACGCCGAATGCACGGCCATCCTGACACCGACCCGCCTGATCCAAACTCTGACAGCTGCCATCTCTGATGGGTTTCAGTGGGCTCACCTGCTGGGGACATGGTTCTGGGAAGGTGACTGCAATGATGACGAGAACAGGCATCCATGACTGAGGAGAGAGGGCTCCCTGGGTGCTGTGGTCCGAATGTTTGTGTCCTCCAAATTCCTATGTTGAAATCCTAACTCCCAGGGTGATGGTGTTAGGAGGTGGGGCCTTTGGGAGGTGATTAGGTCTGGGGGTAGAGCCCTCATGAATGGGATTGGTCCCCCCATAAGAGAGACCCACAGAGAGCTTGGCAGCCCCTTCCACCACACGAGGGCACAGGGAGAAAATGCCATCTATGAGAAACAAGCCCCGACCAGACACTGAGTACACCTGTGCCTTGACCCTGATATTCCAGCTTCCAGAACCGCGAGCAACAAGTTCCTGTTGTTTATACACTGCCCAGCCCGTGGTATTTTGTTACGGTAGCCCGAGTGGACTAAGACGCTGGGGCTCTCTCACAACACGTCCAGATTGATCTGGAAATATATGGTGCCTATGGTATAATCCAGGTGGCATCGCCTGAGCCACGCCCCTCTAGGCACTGAAAATATTCACCTTGGCTGCCCTACCCCCAACACCCCCCACCAATTCCAGCTGCTGCACCACATCAGGAGACGCCCGTTCTCATGGACAAACAGGGAGCACAGGGGCACCTCTGCTACCCCAGGCCAGGAGCACTACCTGGGGAGGGCACGGGCTACAGGTGGGCCTGAGCTCCGGCAGAGTTAATGCAGGTGGAGAGTGAGCTTCCTTTCTTTCTTCTTCCTTCCCTCCTTTCTCTCTCCGTCTGCTTAAATGACTTTATCACTGTTCTAATGCGTTACAGACATCCAACGTGAGGATGGAGTTGGGGACTGTATCCCACTGGGCAGAGTGCTCCCCCAAACCAGGCATATCTACCTGCCCTGGTGCCACCTGCAAAGGAATCTGCTCAGTTCTACTAGAACTTTCGCAAGGACGCAGAGCACAGCCTGCCCATATAACGCCCCCCAACCCCCACCCCCCCGCCTCATCTTAGCACTCTGCCTACCCTTCCGTCGGTCTTGAAGTCTAAAGCAATTTTAAAAGTTTTGAAAAGATCAGATTGCTCCTGTTCTTTCAGCCACCTCAACTCCTTGTTGGCTTGCCGGGGACCTGCCAGACGCCTGTGTTCAGTCACTGCTAAGGGCAGGTGGCACACCGGGTGCCGCTGGCTGCAGGAGGCAGCAGCACTGGGTCCCTTCTCGAGTTAATCCACTCCTCCAGGTCTCCCCAGGCTTCAGCTCCACTGCAAGCCCCCTCTGGGGAGAGGGAGCCTCCCTCCAGAGCCCCACCAAGGACACAGACAAAAGCACATCACCTGGCACCTGCCGTGCACACAGAGGTCAGTCTCGTAGGGCCCACAGGGTGTGCCATCCAGGACCCTGTCGGCCACCAGCAGCGGAGACTCCTTCCCGAGGGGTGAGCAGTAGAGTTCACACGGCTTATCTGAGGAGGGAAAGGTTGGTGGGCATTGACGTGGGAAGGGGCGTGTGGGCCATGCAGGGCGCAGGAACGCGTGGGCAAGGGGAAGCCCCAGGGAAGAGAGGTTGGCACAGGTAAATAAAGGTCATGATATCTTAGTGCATGTCCTCGGGTTCATGCTCCATCTACACACCAGATGCAGCACAGGGAAAAAGGCCCTGGGCCTCAAGAGAATGACAGCACAGGTCAGAGGCTGTGGGGCTTCTTCTCCTGCTCTCTTGAACCTCTGCAAAGATACAGCACTTCCTCTCCCTTAAGGCATAAGCAGCCAGGCTGAACAAAGGCATAGTTGTGTGCTAACGTCTTTGTAAATTGAAGGCGGGTCAAGGGTGAACCTAGGAGCTACTCTTGCAGCTGGAGTGGGGAAGGAAGAGGGGGCTGGAGAAGATGGGGAGGGTGGGAAGGAGAGGATGGTGGGGAAGACGAGGAGTATGGGAAGGAGGGGAGGGTGAACGAGAATGACTTTGAGCGGGGGAGTGGGCCCCATGGGATCTCCACGGCAGAAGTTTTGCTGAGCGTATTAACAGCCCGGAACTGCTGGTAACAGCCGCAGAACTGTGCTGTGGGGCACAGAGGTCCTGGAACAAACTGGGTGGGGCTAAGGCACAGAGAGGGGACATGTGGGCTGCTAAGAAAACTCGTGAGAGTCCTGTGCTGAGACAGGATGGGACCCCGGTTTCTGCTGCTCCTGGAACCACAGAACACACCCAGCTCTCTCATGCCTTTGCCTGGGCCGTTCTCTCTGCCTGGAAATCCCTCCTACCTTGGCCTTCTAGAAGGATCCCACCACACTGGAAGCTTCTGCTCCAGAGCTGCCCCTCTCATGCCATCTCTGACGTGGGCAGGATACGCACCGCCACACGGACTTGCGCGCGCCTCCATTAAAGCCCTGGCTATCAGCCTGCTGTTGTATAACTGTCGGGCGCCTCCTGTATATCAAGCGATTTATCATAAGGCAGGTCCCACTGCAGAGGGAGTGTGACCGGGATGAATTTCTATTACCTTCAGACTGAAGCACTGATGAGCTGGGAGCCCTAGAGGGCAGGGGACCAAGTTTTCATCTTTTGGCCCCAGACTGAGCCCAGGACCACGCTCACATACGGACTCAGTGTGTATTTTTGAACAAATGAGGGGACTTTGCTCTTCTATAAGTAATTGCGCAAGAGGAACACACCTTTCTCTCTTTCTCTCCGTCACCTAGTGCCACTCATGTGACTGCTCTGCACAGGGCTCCCAAGAGTCAAAGACCTCCACGCCGCCTTGCCAGGCCCTTTGTCCCCACCCACACCCTCCCCCAGTGGGTTCTTCCGGTGGCCTGGGGCTAACAAGGGTAGGGGCAGAGAAAGGCTTCTGCAGCTGACCTAGCCCTGGAGGAGCTCAGCGTCCCAGCGGAGTGTTCTCATCAGAGCACATGCACCGTCTCACCCAGCCTCTGGGGCTCTCGTGACTGAGTGACTAAACCACCCCTGTGTCCAGTGGCTTTCCAGAGCCTCCTCCCATGGAGCTCTGCCAGTCAAAATGCTTGGTGGCAAGTCTTGTCTCAGAGCACTAGAAGGAAGCTCCGGGGGTGTGGTGGAAACGCTGGCCTCAGTTCTTCCCATTAGTTGTGGGGGAAGAAAATCTGCTCTGAAGAGTAGACTAGAGACCTCCAGCTTCCTAAGGTTGGCAAAGTAACAACGCACCAACAGTTATTCATTCAACACACACTCTGTGGGCACTGCTGGGGAAAGATGAGTGATGTGTGCTCTTCAAGGCCCTGGGGGGCTCATGGACAAGTGCACAGCAAACCCAGGATGAGGCAGAACATGACACGTCCCCTGAGACAGGGCTGATGTGAGCTGTCGGAAGGCCGGGCGTAACCTGGAAGGAATGACTCATTTCCTGCGCTGGCGGGCCAGGGGCAGTTGTCCTCCCTTCCATGTACAGGGAAAGAGCCAAAAAGGTGGCCGGCGGAAGGAAAGCTATGAAAGATGGAGACGTAAACTGAGATCAGCTCTTGGAGGCTCATTTGACAAGATTGTTGAGGTGCCTTTTGGGGCCCTGAGATTCTCAGAGTATTTGGGGAGCTGCTAGGAGAAATATAGTCCCCCAGCCGAGTGTGGGGTCTACTCCATACACTGGCCTGCCTCTAATATTTAATTGGAAGGAAGGGTGCCTTGGCCTCAGTGGTTTGAAATTGTGGATTTTAATTACCTTTGGACTGAAGTACTGACTCAGTAGTGGGAGGTGATTCATTCAATAGCAGTTGACAGCAATGATGATAAAATCATAAATAATGTTTGTTATGTACCATGTGCTGGGTGGTACAGTTAAGTAGTATCTATGCATTTCAGGTGGGTGCTATAGTCGTTCCATCCTATATACGTGCACGTGGGGCTCACGGGATGTGCCTGGCAGCCGGGGTCCCTTGGCTGGCAAGGCCACACCCTGGCCTCTCGGTCCTGGCCTGGTTCTCTTTCCACTGCCACTGCTTGCTCTCTCAGTGGAGAACTCTCGGGGGGCCTCAATTACCAAAGAGCAAAATGGCATCGCTGACAACAAACCACCATTTTCAGAAATGTTTCTGGCTTTGGAGTACGTACCCTGATTTGAGCAGAGAGGGAAGTGAGGTTTGGGTAGAAAGCAGAGGCTGCGTTGAGGCGAGCTAGAAAGACCAGACTTGGAAGGTACGAAGGTTGTATCTGGGCTCGTGGGTGTGAGTGTCAGAGAAGTGGGGACTCTCCAAGGCCAGCCCTGGAGGGGGGGATACTGGCCATGACCCCAGCAAGAAGCTCCACTCAACTCCACCTGCCCATGACGCCCCCACCTGCAGTCACTGCCCTGCCGGCTTGGCCAGCCTGGGACAGCCAGACTCCAGAACAGCCTCCAGAGCTGGGGCTTCCTTCTGCTCAGCCAGAATTCTCCCCGTCTGTCTGGCTCCTCTTCTGAGGCCTCTGCTCAGAATTCAGGACACCCACACCTCTAGCAAGGTCTGGCACTGTCTCTCAAAGGCACCGAAGATAACCTTTGAATATATGAGAAGGTGGCTCAGAGCCCCTCGAAATCCTCCATTTCCTTCCAGGCTGCCTTGGGTGGGAAATTAATCTCTGGCACGTCACACGAGGTGGTGGGATTCAGCCTTGATCACAGAGTCAACACTCTTACATTCCAAGTAGTATAGAAGGAGATCTCATTTTCTTAAAAGTTATACAAATACACACTTGAAAAGAAGCTTGGAGTAACCCTCCTGCGTGGCTGGTGTGTGCTGAGATGGAATTCTGATTGAGGCTGGAGTCGGTCAGGACTTCTGTTTGGTCAGGGGAAGCCACAGACAGGGCAGAGAGATGGGCTCCACACGATCATATCTGCCTGCCAGGGGCTCAGAGGGGTCCTCCCGGTGCTCCACAGTGGAGGGGACGGTTGTGGCCCTTAGCATTCTCACCGTTCTCTGTCTCTGCCGGTGGTTAGCAGGTCTCAGTACAGTAGAGACCCCATTGAATTGAGGCCATCCCAGTGCTCATCCAGCTCTGCCTGGCCCTCTGTGGGAACATGCACCATGGAGGCTGCTCAGCCCATCCCCAGAGCTGCCCACCATGGCCTCCGAGCCAGGCCTCAGCTGCTTAGACCAGCAGTGAGCACCTGTCTGCAGCCAGACCATTCCTGGTCTCTCTCCTGGGAACTTAGTACTGACAGTCAGATACAGAGAGGTCATGTCTGCTGATGGGTCCAAAAGAAGGCTACACTCCCTTATCTGTAATTCAGAAATCCCAAAACCTCTGAACACAAGCATTCTCCGACATTTGTGGCAAACATATTTGGCAGCAAAGCCAGTCTGGACTGACACGAGGCTCCTGGTAGTGTTAGCATCCCCCTTAATGAGAAGATTCACAGGTTGCCTGGTAGAGATGTCCACGTGTCGACTCTGGGGTGCTTCCCTGGGTCCCAGTAGGGGTATTAATATTCAGTTGATGCACTGTTATTACCTTTCTAACATGCACAATGCTCTGAATTCTGAACCATACCTGGCCCCTAAGGACCTGAATAAGATGTGCGTTTACGCAAGAGGCGCTGTGGGTTGTCCTCTCTGTGCACGTGGACGAGCTGTGAGAAAGCCAATCTGCAGTGGGCGCAGGAGGATGTGACTGCCAAATGCCAGCTGTGGCGGCCATGGAGGGAAGGTCCCCGCATCTTCAGAGGCCTTGGCCCCAGACCAGCCTCCTGGCCCTGTGGTCCTGGGAGATACGCGGCATCTTTGCAACAACTTCGCTCTTTTTCATTAAGCAGCTCTGAGCTGGCGTCAGAGAGCCCTGCCCATCGCACCCTCATCCCCGTGGAGGCTCAGACCCAGGTGGGGGCGGGAGTTCTGCCATGCCAGGGAGAAGGAGCTGGGAACACACAGTCACGTCCAGGCACGGCCTTCGCCAGGCCCTCCGACACTTCAGTGGGCCCACGGCCCGCTGGCCTGGGCAGAGAAGACTGAACTCTTGAAGGTTTCCACTTCAATGAAATTCCGCGGGGAAAGCAGAATCGGGGTGGGTTTGGCGACCGGCCATCTCTATGGGCTTCTGTCTGAAGGCTTTTCCACTTAGAAATATTTTCTAAGGAGAGTCTTTGTCTTCTGTTGGAGGTGGTATGGATTTGTGGTCCTGAATCCTCCCTTGGAAAATCTACCTCTGCAAGAATTCTTTAAAAATAAAAGAGAGAGAGAGAGAGAGAGAGAAAGAAAACAAAAAGTATAGCTTCCCCTTTCTTGAACCGTGCGTCACTGGCCAAAGAATTCCGCAGCGATAGCAATGCTATGAATAGGGCAGTCATCGCGGCTTCAGAGGAGCCCGGAGCCCAACCACAGGAATCGCTCCTATCGCGGCCGAGCTAGAATTGTGCCTTTTATAAAACAAGTTTTGAGAGGAACACTTATAATCTGTATTCTCCCCCTGCCTTCTGAATTGGCCATTTATTATTTTGTTTGTACCCTTGTGAAATGCTCCTTCTGAAAATGCTGGCTTCTGTTTACACTTGAGAGAGAAGTGAAACCACATAGGCAAGAAGTCATGACAATTCCACCCCCGAGGAGGACGTCTGGAGCTACCCTTGCAAAGGCCTGAACTCAGGGGTCTCGTCTTCAAAGGCAAAATACTCACTGCCTGTTAGCTGTCCTGATCAAATAGGGTTGTGCTTTTTGGATCAAAGGCGGTGGTGCTCTACTGATGATTATTTATTACTTGGGCAGAAAGAACCAAATAGCGAGTGGGTGAAAAGTCACATTCTGAACCCAACGAGCTCCCCCAACAGCCTCCCTGCGAGGCTTCCTAGACAGAGGGTCCCAGCAGACACGAGGCTCAGCCACGGTGACGATAGGGCCACCGAGGAGCTCAGCCATCCCAAAGTGGTTAGCAGGAAAATAGACGTTTAACCTGGACTTGGAGAAATCTGTGGAAAAACAGACATTTAAGTGGGATTTCTGCATTGAATAAATGATGTCGGAGCATTGAAAACTGAAGCAAGCTACCGAGGAAAGAATAACAACTTCGTGCGCATAGTTGGGTGGAAAGGAAAGAGCGGTGAGTCTCTCTTCAACCTGATCTCTTCTTGCTCCTGCCAAGTGGGAGAGGACAGAAATGAGGTCTGAAATTGTCTTTATCTGACATTTTGGGGATGGCTGAAGGTTTGGAAAACAAGGCTGCTTCTCATCGGAACGGGCCACCGTGCTGGAGAGAGGCGGCTCTCTCTGGTGCTATCTTGCTCCTGGTTAGGGGTCTGGATGTGCCAGACACAGCAGGAAGCCTCCTCCCTCCTCCTGCGTCAGGTTCAGGGCCAGGCAGAGAGAGGCGAGGGCCTGCTCCATGCAGGTAAGTGCCTCCAGGTGCACGCATTCTTTCGGGGAGAAGGCAGGTCTCCTCTCTCCTCTCTCCCTCACCTGCGGGGAAAGTCGAGGATGTGAAGGCCGTGTTTCTCCTGAATTCTGCTGCTAAGTGACAGTGCAGCTACAGTACACAGCCTCTGAAGGTCGTATTCTTTTTTATAAAAAGGAGAATGTCTGGGGAGCTCCCCAATACTTTAAAATGAGTCTGTAGCCGAGTGGGTTGGCATTACCTTGTATGATTTAGAACGTCACACGTCACTGTGCAAGTCAGCTCAAAGAGGATGGGCCAGGTTGTTGGGCTAAAAGCTGCAGATCTGAGGCCGCTGTTCCAGCGATGCCTGGGCCTACTCTCGCACAGCTATGCACACTTGAACTTGGAACGGCAGACCGCAGAATGTGGATTTCAAAGGTTCTTCCTGTTACATGGAGGAAACCTAAGACCTGGCACCGGAATGTCATTCTTTGCAAAACACTTCTGAGGCTGTCTAAAAGTCAGGCCCGGTTGCTTTTGTTCTTCTTAAAACTCCCTCACTCGGCACCCACAAAGTCACTCTTTCTGTCTTGCTCGAATACTGGGAGCTGGATGATAGCTGGCTACTTTCTGTGAGTCCCTTTAACTCCTCTGGAACTGGGGTCAGCTCCCACCCTGGCTTCTTGTCAGCTGCAGGAGCTCAGACGTGTCCTGTAACCTCAGCACTCTCATCCTCAGCACAGCTTATTTTGCATATTAAATGTGATGGTGTGTGCCTGGCATGTAGTATGCTGGTGAGTGGGACCATGCTGTTGTCATTATAACACAAAGTCTCATTTCCTGAAGAAGAACAGTTTTAGGTGGAAAATAGCCCTGAACCAGGTCCTGGGGTGTCCTTGTCTATAACAGACAGACATCACAAATCCTACACTGACATGATGCATCACCTAGAATTTTATCAGCCACTGGAAATGCTTGCAGTATCCTAGGGGGGCAGGGCCTACTGATTTGGGAGAAAGTTCTTAGAAAGAAAATGTGATCTGTGCTTATCAACATCTTTCCCAAATTGTAAACTGTTCTCAAAATTTTCCCCAACACTCAGGCAAGGAGTAACAATCAATCCGAAATGAACTAGGAAAAGGCAGGAAAGTATCCACATTGGAAAGCAGAACAGCAGACATACTGCTGTGCTCCTGTAGGGCCTCACTGTCCTCAAAGTTTGTCCCAGGTCCCTCAGCTCACAGTGCCGGGGGCAGGCTGCCAGCACACCGCCTTGCTGCAAGTGGGGGCCCAGGATGCATCTGGCCTGTGCCTGCCTCGACAGCTGCCGCTGGGAGATCTCGGAGAGGTGGGTCATTCAAGTTCAACCCCATTGCTCAAGAAGTGGGGCCGTGGCTGACTTGTGCAAGGACAGGAGTGTCCTGTTGGGTGGATTTGGGAGAGGGTGTTTTGTGGGTTTCCCTAGGTGGTTTTTTTGGTCTTGGGGAGGAGAGAGGGAGGTCACCACGCAAGGACACATCATATGCCTTTACCTTCCACCACCACCGCTGTCAGCAGGCCCTTCTTCTTGCTGCTCAGTCGGTCATGCGCCTGGCACTGCTGGTCCCGGAAGCTGGGCAGACCCTTGGGGCAGGGCGGGTTCTCGCAGACTGCATGCTCCACACTGGCCCCCAAGCAGTGTGTGCCTCCAGGCCCAGGGCTAGAAAGAAGAAGAAGGTCTGCATTAACCAGACTGGGCCGTGGAACAGCAGCGGCACTCCGCTTTTGTCTCTCTTACAAGGAGGGGGACATGCGGGGCAAGGTTTCCAAAGCAACCCCCTCCACAGACCACATCTCAGCAATCTCAGACCCATGCTGACGACACATCAGAAAGATGCACTCAAGAACTGTAAACTAAGGTCATCTGGAAACAGAATGCGGAGGGTACCAGTTCAGCAAGATCCACAAATTGTCTTTCATCTGAACTTAAAATGTGGCCATGGGTAACACTGAAAACCCCAAAGAACATTTTTTTTTGGCAAGGGGGTGTGTTTAGGGGGCTGTTCTCTGAAATGAAGACCTTTAAATGGCTCCTGGCTATGCTCTGGGGGTCACTAAGTTTCAGGGCGAGTAAATAAGCAGCTCGTGTTCATAGTGAAAAGAACAAGAAGGATGAGTTCACTTGCTCATGGGCTTTGGGTAGAGACAAGTTAGGCCCTGGCTGTGCCACCTTCAGCTGGGCACGTGTGAGACCACAGGTGGTCAGTGCTGCAGTCTTGTGTCCTGGACGCTCTGTGCTTAGACTGGGGTTTTAATCTGTTCCGGATACCCGGGCTGTGGTCACCAGCCAAGTCCAGGAGTGTGAGCTCTGCCCACTCTTCCACCAGGCCCCAGGGCGACCTGGGCAACCTCCATGGTTCAGTTCATCTCCATGATGCCAAGATCATCATGATGGAGTGAGATTTCTCATTTTCCCTCCTATACTTTTTACTGAAATTCACCATATGAGAGAAAAGAGCACAAATCACAACTGTTCTGCTCAATGAATGTGCGCAAATTTCACACATCTGTTGGCAGGATGACATTTCTGACACATTAACCATGTCATTTTGGGTATTTCTTTTTCTCGCCTTGCCATTTCTCACATCCAGATGGCAAGGCCACCCTGTGAACACGCTTTAGGGGACAGATATATGGTAGAAGTCTTCAGGCTTTTGTCACATGTAAGTCTACACCAAGGGTTGACAAACTTTTTCTATAAAGGGCCAGATAATGAGTATTTTTGGTTTTGTGAGCCACACAGTTTCTGTTGTAATTATTTAATTCTTCCACTGTAGCACAAAAGCAGCCAGAGACAGTATGTAAGAGAATGGGTATGGCTGTGTTTCAATAAAGCTATATTTAAACAAGCAGGTGGTGAGCCAGATTTGGTCCACGGGCCACAGTCTGCCAGCTCCAGAAGGAGGCCTGGAAGAAAACATCCTGAGAAGAAGGAAAGGCTCCCTTCATACCTCTCTGTCTACTTCATATATTCCAGGAAACAATTCCCTCCCCTGGGAGTAGAGGCAGCCTGGGGAGAATATATACACTGGTGACCCCCTAGTGGGGACCTGTGCTCTGGTCTCCAACACAGGCCCAAGTTAGAAAATGGCTAAACCTCTACAAGGCTTATGGGATCTGAGAGCAGAGGGGCCATGTGTTCCGCTTCCTCTCTAGAAGACCGGGAGAGGGTGGGTCAGCTGACCTCAGAAATGATTGCACGGCATATTTAGGTAGATGGAGCCTGAGACAGCCTCCCCAAGAACCCTGGGCCAGGCACCAGGGGCCACAGAGCACAGTGTGGAAGGAGCAGAGAGGGCCTGGCCCTGGAGAGCCATGTGCGCCAGCAGGAGAAATATTATCATGGCAACAGGTGAGTCCCCATGACTGGGGACCAGAGAGGGAATGAGTGATGCATCAGATGCTGTACGGCAAGGTGTTACAAGCTGAACTGTGTCCTCCTCAAAATTCATATGCTGCAGTCCTAACATCCAGTATCTCAGAATGTGGCCTTATTTGGAAATAGGGCCACTGCGGTTATAATTAGTTAAAATGAATCATACTAGAGGAGGCTGAGCCCCTAATCCAATATGAATTATCCTTATAAAAAGTCGAAATCTGGAGACACACACAGGGAGAACATCCTGAGAAGATGAAAACAGAGACTGGGATGAAGCGTCTGTACTCCAAGGAATGCCAAAAATGGTCAGCAAACCATCAGAAGCTAGTAGAGAGTCCAGAGATAGATTCTCCACATAGCCCGCCGGAAGAATCAGCTTTGCTGACACTTTGATCTTGGACTTCCAGCCTCTGGAACTGTGAGACCATAAGCTTCTGCTGTTTAAGCCACTTAGCTTGTGGGACTTTGTTACGGCAGCATCAGCAAACTAACATACCATATGGATGCCGCAGGACCAGATGCGTCTTCGCAGAACTGAGATGCAGGCTCAGGGAAAGTGGGGCAAAATCTGAAGTGACAGGAATCCCACATAAACTGGGAGTTTAAAAACACAAATTAGGTTGGTTTCTAGAAAAATAAAGGAAGCTACATTTCCTACATACCTTAGGGTGTGGACTGCCATCTGTGCACATTATGTAATTAACTTCCTGTGTTGTCATCAAACTTCATTTTACCTTCAGTTTCATCCCTTCCCACCAACTGATTTCTCCACTTTTACATCCAGCTGACCCACATACGCCAGTTACCTGCACACCTGACAGTGGGTACGTGGACAGGAGACTGGTTGTGACATAAAAGAACTGGATCCAGGAGAAAGAGGGCCCGGAGGCAGCAGCCCATGGGATGCCACATGTGCTTTGGCGTGTCTCCCTCCAGACCTGCTTATGCTGCTGCTTCTCCCTGTCCAACTTCTCCCATGGCCAAGTCTCCTTTGGGCCCTTATCTAGCCTACGGCCCCCTCATCCCCACCTCCCACCTCTACCAATCCAATCGTAAAACAAAACAAAACAAAAAAAATAAAAACAAATGAAAGCAAACCCTGGGGAAGGGGGAGAATTTGTTTCTCTGTTTCCAGAATTACCACATTATCAGATTCAAGTGTCTAGTTTTCACCAAAAATTCACAAGACACACAAAGGAATGGGAAGGTACGGCTCATTCAAAGGAAAAAAATAGGCTGGGCATGGTGGCTCACACTTGTAATCCTAGCACTCTGGGAGGCCAAGGCGGGAGGATCACTTGAGGTCAGGAGTTCAAGACCAACCTGAGCAAGAGTGAGACCCTGTCGCTACTAAAAACAGAAAAAATTAGCCAGGCATCATGGCACATGCCTGCAGTCCCAGCAACTTGAGAGGCTGAGGCAGGAGGATCACTTGAGCCCAGGAGTTTAAGATTGCTGTGAGCTAGGCTGACACTACGGCACTCTAATCCAGGCAACAGAGTGAGACTCTGTCTCAAAAAAAAAAAAAAAATTAAAAACGAACAAAGTATATTGACAGAACCTGTCTCTGAAGAACCTCAGATGTTGGACTTACTAGACAAAGACTTTAAAACAACTGTCTTAAAGATGCTTAAGAGGCAAAAGAAGACATAGACAAAGACAGGAAGATCATGTATAAACAAAATGAGAATATCAATAAAGAGATGGAAATTATAAAAAGGAAACAAATACATTTTGGAGTTGAAAAGTACAACAACCGAAACAAAAAATCCACCAGATGAGTTCAAAGCAGATTTTAGTAGGCAGAAGAAAGAATAAGCAAACTTGAATACAGACAAACTATTGAGTCTGAGAAGTAAAAGGAAAAAAGAATGAAGATAAGGGAACGTAGGGGGTCTATGGGACACCATCAAGTGGACTGATGAACACATTATGGAAGTCTTAGAAGGAAAAGAGAGAGAAAAGGGAGTAGGAAATTACTTAAATAATGGCTGAAAATCTCCCAAATCTGAAGAAAGGCATGGATCTACAAATCTACGAAGCACAACAAACTCCAAGGAGGATAAACATACAGGAACTCACATTGGGACACACTATAATTAAACTGGCAAAAGACAAAGAAAGAATCTTAGAGCACCAAGAGAGAAGTGACACGTCACATACAAGAGCTCTTCAATGAGATTTTTCAGTCAATTTCTCATCAGAAACATTGGAGGCCAAAAGGTAGTGGGCTGATATAGTCAAAGTGCTCAAAGAAATAAAAAAAAAGAAAAAAACACCTGTCAACCAAGAATTCTATGTCCACATAACTGTCCTTCAAAAATGATAGGAAAATTAAGACATTCCCACATAAAAGTTGAGAAAGTTTGTTACTTCCAGACCTGAATTACAAGAAATGCTAAAGGGAGTCCTTCAAGTTCAAATGAAAGGATACTAAGATAGTAACATGAAGCCATATGAAGGATTAAAGATCTCCAATCAAGACACAATGCTAAGCTTAGTTAGTACAAGGTACTAGAGAAAACTGGAGGAGTAAGAGGTATTTCTCCCTGGTTTTGGTATGTGATTTCTCTCAGTATCCTCCCCTAGTGCCCTGTGATGCATGTCATCTCCTTGTGGCAGCATCCTCCTGTACCCCAGAAGGTAGCTCCCAAGCACATCAACCTTTTAGGCAGATTCCCATCCTGGTCTGAGTTGCAGTTTCTCTCCTTGGATACCTTTCCCTGGCACCCTAAGTGTGGCTTTCCAGAGAGTCCCACCAGCACAGACCCTCCACAAACCCCTCCCTAATCCAGTGAGCTCCAGCCTCTCCAACAGGGCCCAAGGAATTTCAGCTATGGATGTGTGTGCGTGGGTGGGTGGGGTGTCATCCCCATCCAGATTTGCTCCTTCTTTGGGTGCTCTGTCTCACACCTGAAGATGCTGGCTACTACCTATATCTGCTCTTGCTGTATTCTTCAGAGTTCTCTTTGTGTCTTATTAGCTAATTTCCCATCACTCCAATCACCTGTCATAGCATTTAATGCTTTCTTATGTGAAGCTTCCCTGAGCAGAAAAAAAAAAAAAAGACTGAAAGAATGAGTTTTTTTCAGTTTTTCCTTGAGTCACTACTTTGAACAGCACAGAAAACGAAAGAAACAATAGCCATTTGATTCACTACCTAAGTAATCCTAGTATTGACATGTGGCAGGACCCTACACATGGTGCCTTACTCTTCATGACGGTTTCTATGACACAGGTCGTCTATAGTAACCATGACATCAGTGAGGTCCTCCTGCATG